CTAAAACTCATGAACTTATGATTTCTAAGCTATGACTTGTGAACCATTCCTAATTTGGTACGGTATGGTTATTGTGGTTCACTTCTATCTCATTCAAGGAAGGCACCAGCATAATATAAGAGCATATTCTTTGGCAGGCACAAGAAGCAATGGAGGTTGGTGTGGATTGTTGTTGTATCTATAAGACTATAACTATAAGCCACGTGATTGTGGTTTATAAAGTATATATATATATGGCCTTTGAAAATTTCAAGATCCAAAAGCCCGAATTGAAACCGTGAAACCAGATAAAAAGGTTAGGTGGGGGTACTGCTCTTCAAACTTCAAACAACTTTGTTTGGGATGACATAAGCACGTGCCATTCCCATTTGTGTGTCAACGGTTGACGATAAAAAGCTAAAAACACATTATTTTATTTTTTAAAAAATATTTTTATTATTAAATAAAATTTTGTATGAGTCTGACAAAAAAAATAATGAATTTACGTTATTAGATAAGATTCACGTAATGAATTTATATTCTCAGGTTTTGATGGGAATATTTTTTTAATAAGTTTCACATAAATTTTACGTAATAATAAAAAAATATTAAAAAAAGGTCCAACAGTAGCAATATACCATTCCTCTATCCAGCCTATATTGAGGATGAAGGGTTGAAGGTACAGCCAGTTGTGTTCGGTGGGGTGTGGTTAAATTCACACTTTCAACTTTCAAGGTTTGTTTTGTTAGGTGTTTGAGTTTCCTTCTTAATTTGGAACCAACGATATACGCAAAGTTGGTTTAAGATTTTTTTTTTTTTTTTTAAATTTTTTTTTACCCTTAAATATAATGAAGGGTTGGCCTAAATGATCTATTTCGATGTAGTTGGTGTTTATTAAAATAACCATTGGCCCAGTTTGATACAAGTCACAAGATTCATGCCCTGGTGTGCATTAAAAGACATTTTCTGACCTTTTCTTTTTCTTTAATTCTCTCTTCGTTTTTTTGGTATTATTCTTTAATCCTCTTTTGAATTAGTGATGGATGTTCTTTTACTCTCTCTCTCTCCCTCTCTAAACTCAACTCAAACAGTTATATTTTAATATTTTAAATGTAATGCAATTCAAATTCATTTTTCAGAATTATGCAAATTACACGCGTCTGAATCATAATTTCAATTTCGTAGCAGTTTATTGTTTTTTATAAATACTTTTTATTAAAATTGTGAGGCGAATAGAGGATTGAATTTTTTTAATATTAATCTTATTAAATCGTTCATTTAATATTTGAACTCAGAATAATCCTGGCTGAGAGTAACAACCATTAGATTAGTGTTATTGACCCATATACGAGGCTTATTAATTGACAAGTCCAACAAGGGACAATTCAAGATATAAATCTGATATAATTATAGAAGGATATCCATCAAAGATATCAATCATAATATGACAGCATAACATATGAGCTTAGGCCATCATTAGAGGCACTAAAGGTTCAGAATCCAGTATCCACTATCCACCGGTAAACTCTATAAATATTTGAAATGGATCCTCTCGTATGTAATTTAACATGATCATGTCATGTGGGAGGATCTTAACCATTAATAATTAAATCAACGATGATGATTGTGTAACTTCCTATCCTTATATTTTTCTCTCTCCTCCCTTATCTCCATTAACTCACCCATGAATGATTATGATTGCCCCACATGACATGGTCATGTTAATTAGCACATGAGAGGATCCACTCCTATAAATAAGAGGTAAAACCTACAGGCACGTTAGGCTCTCTCTTTTATTATTATGTTGTCAGTTGTCACTGTGCGCGCACACACCCTTTGACAAAGCCGTTTATAATCCTTCTGTGCACAGTGATCTGTTTGACTCAAGGGTATCTCATCTATATAGATACCTTGGAGAGAGCACTTAGATCCAATAACAACATATCTGAAAATTCAATTAACATTTTTAACTTGTGATTATATAGTTAGTGACTCAAAGTCACTTAATAATATTGTTATATTATGATACATAATTCGTAATTCAAAATCACGGGGTGTAAATGGGCTAGCCAGCCTAAGAGTGGCTTTTGGTTCGGCCTATTAGGGGTGTTTATCAACCGATCCAAATCGATTCAAATCGCGGTGACCGAACAGAAAAACCGATAACCGAATAAACTGAAAATCGAAAAATCAAAACTGAAAAAATCCCGCAAATTTTAATTGGATTGGATTGGATTTCGGATTGATTGATGAAAACCAATCCAATCCAAACCGATCCAATATATTAATTTCCTTCTACCTAATTGGGTCTTTCCCCAATCATAGCCCAAAATTTTTTAAACTTAAGACCCATTAACCCATCAACTAAATCCAAGAAAAAATCTAGTCACGTCTCATCAACAAAATTTCATCTGTGTAGAACTTCATATCTCATTGTCTAAAAAAAACTATGTTATCGTTTACTGATGCTTTTGTATTTCAAAAATAAATAAATTTACAAAGCCAATATATAACAAAGATGTTATTTGCACAATAATTATGAAACAAATTTTAGGATTTTCAAAAAACCAAAAATCAATCCAATCCAAACCAAATTTTTTTTGGATTGGATCGGATTTGAAAAAAATCCAAACTGAATGGATGATTACATGATCAAACCGAAGGGATTGGATCAGATAATTTTTGCTTCCAAAACCGATCCAATCCAGACTGCGAACACCCCTACGACATATTATATATAAGGGAAAAACTATTTTTATGTCACATGGCATAAGTTTTCTCTCCTACACACCCTTCGATAATTGTGCCACCTTTTTCTTTTATTTTTGCAGGTGGTGGAGCTCACTAGTTTGTCTCTATGACATAAGATAATTATCTCCTTTAACATGAGATTAATAAAACCCTATATATAAACAAATAAAATAGACTTAGCCTCAAAAAAAGCTTATTTAGAAAACAGATCATATGATTTATTTTACAGGCTTCTAGGTCGACCTATATCATATTATTTATTTTAAATAAAATAAATAAATTATTTTAATAATTTTGGATAATAAAGTAATATTATTTTAATTAATTTTTTAATTATTGAATGCTTAATAAGCTTAAACAGGCTAACATGCCTAGATTAAGAATTTTATTTTTAAATATAAGTTAGATCAGACTTATAATTTGAGCATATACAAAGCTAACAAATTAGGACAAACTTAAAATATTTTATACAAACTTAATCTCTTTAAGTCAAAGCCTAACTCAGTCGAACCTATTTATATCCCTGATCACCACTAACATTACACATAATTGAGGATCACCTAAGACAAGTTATAGTGTATATTCATAATTTTAGTAAAACAATATAATAAATAAATAAATTGTATTTTAAGTTTTGTGTCAAATCAATGATTCAGTAAAGTTAATATTAAAAAATTAAATCCTAATTTTAAGACATGTTTGCTATCTACAACTTTTCTAAAACACAATTTGTCATGTCATCGTAGTTTAGGCCCCACGACTTTTGTAATTTGTAATGTTCTAAAAAAAATTGATCTTACGCAAAATTAATAATATTAACATATAGTTACAGCAATTGAAAAAAAAGAAGAAGGAATGAGTTTGAAGTTTGAACTGGAATGAAACGAATACTTTTCACATTGGAAATTGGAAGTTTGAAGTTTAAAGCGGACATTGAAGTTCCATTTTATCTGCAAAGACCGGCCTTTATTTTATCTGAAGTTCCATTTTATAACCAAATGATATAAAGTTGAATCTTTGTTATTCATTATTCTAAATAAGGGGTACTTATCAAATTCTAAAGATCACACAATTGGAGACAGAGTGGCAAATACCTTTGGAAGTAATCCCCTCTAGATTAGGCACAAGCATGCCCTTTGGGATCCTCGGTATGCTAATATTGTCTTGCCCAATATAATTAGAACTTAGGAGTATTTTCCCTTACTCTTAACCCCATCCAAAAATAAAAGATAAAGAAAAAATTATTTTAAAAATCATAATTTATTGTAAATATCTATGTTGCATCGACACCGACACAGACACGACATTCTGACATGTTAATTTTAAAATATGTTAGATTTCGACACATTTTGATATTAAATAATATTTTTAATTTATGTAATATATATTATATTTAATATTTAATAATTTAATAAAAAATAAGTTAAATTTATAATATCCATTAATTTTGCAAAGAAACATAAGATGTCACAAACTCCGATACTCCGACACTCCAACACGCGTTGTAGAAACTCAAAAAATGGTTCAAAGGTTGCGTTGTGCTGCGTTTTTAATTTCAACTATTAGATTTATTGGATTAAGATTACTATTTTATTGAGTTTAATATAAATATTTGGAATATTTTATGTTTCTTTGATAAATTGATGGGTATTATAAGTTTAACTTCATTTTTTTGTTAAATTATTTAATATTAAATATAATATACACTACATAAATTAAAAATATTATTTATTATCAAAACGTGTCCTAACGTGTTAAAATTTAACTTTTTTTAGAATTAACGTGTTGGAGTATCGTGTCACGTGTCCCGTGTCAGTATCGGTGCTACATAGGTCACAAATATTTATATTAAACTCGATAAAATGATAATTGTAATCCAACTAGTTGGAACTAAAAATGCAACACAATCTTTGAAATGTCTACAATGCATATTGGAGTGTCGGACATGACACATCAAATTTTTTGAAGTGTCAAACATAATGCATTAAATTTTATGCATATTGGAGTGTCGGACATGATATATCAAATTTTTTGAAGTGTCAAACATAATGCATTAAATTTTTTAAAATGTCGGTACATCATAGTAAAAATGTAAAATTGTTTGACATTATCATCTAATTTATTATTATTAGTATTATTAAAAAAACAAAAGAACAGAGGAAAAACATGAAAGAGCACAAAAATATAGTTAGGTTGGAAGGTATTTCCAACTTGTCATTGTACAATTTGTGGGATTTGCGCAGCCCTTTTGGCTTTTGTCCAGCAACAAAAATTGTCGTAGCCTGTTCTGTTCATATACATGTCAATTGTTTGACAATTTGTCACAGTGACCCCGCCTGTGTTGCCGGTTGAGGCTTGTGACAGATATTAATAACTTGGTTTCCCTCTCCAAAATTGACATCTTTTCCTTGTGGGAGTGAATACCTGAGCATCGCTTCTGTAACTCCGTCTTCTTCTTCGTTAGATTCTCTTGTAATAAACTCACTTTACGCATTTTTTCACACCCTTTACCTCGTTTTCCTCGCTACGCCTATATAAACCAGGTATTAAAATACTCCTCCCTGTTTATGTTCTCTTTCACATTTGCCTTTTGGGTCTTCGTCTTGCACTTTTCTTCGATTTATTGCATCTGGGGTACTCTGATTCCATCTGTGTTCATGATATTCGTCTTAATACTTGTTGCAAAAAGAGAGAGAGAGAGAGAGAAAGAGTGGAGATTTTTCATTTTTCATTGTTTTCTTTCTTATTATAGATCTGCAATCTCTTTAATTAGAAATAATTTTTTGAATAATTATGGGCTGTGTGAATGATGGACAGTATTTTAATTTTGCAATGAACTTTTTGATAGCGATGTATAGTAGATTTTTTTTTCCTTTCTTTCTTTCTTCTTTCTTGGCATTGAACATTCTTCCAAGCAAACACGTATGCGTTTCTCGTTTCCTTGATTCAAACGTTTGAGGGTGCATCATGAAACTTGTTTGGGCAAATAAACCTACATGCTACATGCATCTCTTCTGTATGACAGCAACCTAAGAACCGTTGCCTTGATTATGAATTGGCTGCACTAAGTGGTATTGCTTTACTCAGTTGTTTGTTTTCAATGATCAGATAATGGCTGCTGAAGTATATCACCAGGCTATTGGCACTTTGCAGTCCCATTCTTATCTTAATAACTTTAATCATCACCAAAAGCTTAGGAACAATTTAGTAAGATTGGTGACAAAGGATTTTATTGGTAGTAACGACTTGTCGAGGAGTGGAAGTAACCACACTGGCCTGAGGAATTGTAGTTTAATTAGATCTTCAGCTTCACAAACATCAGTGGTTGATCCAGTGTCGTCCCCTTCAAGAAGCAACGCAGGCGACACTCAAAAGAAATCAAGTAAGATAAACTCTCCAGTCAAATGATATTTACCTTCTCTGCCAAATGTGTTCACGTTGATTGCTTCTTGAAGTTGGATTCACCAAGTTTTAGGTGGTTGCCACATTCAAGAAGTTGAAGTTGTCATGGTTAGATGTTATCTAACTGCTGTAAAATATGTTCCAACTCAGATGAAGCAGCTTTGATCCTTATCCGGCATGGAGAGTCGTTATGGAATGAAAAGAACCTATTCACAGGTTGTGTTGATGTCCCACTAAGCAAGAAGGGTATAGATGAGGCAATTGAAGCTGGAAAAAGAATCAGCAGCATTCCTGTTGATGTCATATTTACATCTGCTTTGATTCGTGCACAAATGACTGCCATGCTTGCTATGACACAGCACCGTCGTAGGAAGGTAACATGAATGCATAACTATGTTCAGGTGTCAAAAGTGACACAGTATGTAACTAATTTTTCTTTATAAAGCTTAGATATATTAGTTAGCAACTAAGCATGCCATACTCTTAATCGCTAGTGCTTAACTGAAAAGACAGGAGAGGTTAATTCTATTTTCTATGCTGGCAGCACAATCCAGAAAATTAGGCAATCTCAAAATTGACAGGTTTTGCTATTCTTATTGCTGATTGTACATAGTAGTGTGCTGAAACTCTAGTCTATATCATTTGAAGAAATATTTTTGTATGCTGTGGTGTAGTATTCAAATGTCATTTTCTAAATATTAACCGTCAATCTCCCTGCAGGTGCCTATCATTATGCACAATGAGAGTGAACAAGCAAGGGCATGGAGTCAAGTTTATAGTGAAGATACAAAAAAGCAGTCCATTCCAGTCATAGCATCTTGGCAATTAAATGAAAGAATGTATTGATCTTTTTCCTGTTTTCAGTTTGTAAATTGTAATTTCTGCTCTACAATGTCATGAATAACATATTATTTGTATATGATAATTGTTATCCTTTCAGGTATGGGGAACTACAGGGTCTCAATAAGCAAGAAACAGCAGACAGATATGGGAAAGAACAAGTCCATGAGTGGCGCCGAAGTTACGACATACCTCCTCCAAATGGTGAAAGTTTGGAAATGTGTGCTCAAAGAGCGGTTGCCTATTTCAGAGACCAAGTAGGTGGAAATTTAGTTTTTTGTATCATTTTTCTAACGAATTGTTGTTAGTAAGCAAACCCGTCCCCCAAATTATTTTCCAGGGTTAAATTTGACATTTAAGTTTTCCGGACATATTTGGTGAATCTTTAAACTAGATTTTCCTCTCAACTCAGTAGCTCTGCTTTATTAATTCAGTTATATATTTGCTATATGTTTGATGTTTTGTGGGACACATGTAGCTTCTAGCCTATATGTGCTGGGTTTCAAGTATGTATGTAGTTTGATATATGTTGTAAGGCCGAATTTCTGGTATGGTTGATGTAATCATACAACATTGATAAGGGACTGATCCCATTGATTTCGATGCTGCAGATTGAGCCTCAACTTTTATCTGGAAAGAATGTTATGATTGCAGCCCATGGGAATTCATTGAGATCCATTATCATGTATCTCGACAAATTAACTTCTCAAGAGGTAACTGGAGTATCCAGAATTTTCATGGCTCTTAAGTTCACAAATGACACTGAATAGTCATGATTTTTTTTTTTCTTTCACCTTTCGGCAGGTCATTAGTTTAGAACTGTCAACTGGAATTCCATTGCTTTACATTTTCAAAGAGGGGAGATTCATTAGGAGAGGGAGTCCTGTAGGACCGACTGAAGCTGGAGTTTATGCCTATACTAGGGTATGCAGTTTGTATCAGCTTTTAAATCTCATCCCTTTTCATGATGCTTTTTTTCCTCCCCGAAATATAGAAGTTATGATTTAAGGATGGATATTGGTTGTCTGCAATGGCACTTGCAGACCTCAAGAAATGTAAAGAGCAGAACATCAAATATGTTTGGAAAGCCTACAAGATATATATGAATTGAATTTCATTATTAGTGACTACAGTTTGAATATTTACTAGCTTAGCTCTTTAATTTGACGTGCTTGCTTATATAATAGTAATATCAGGTTATATGCTTCCATTTTAACCCCTTTTACTTTCTGGGAGAAACTTTAAGCTTCATCTTTCTTTTTAAGAATTCCATAGTTAAATCTAGTTTTGGTAAATGTAAAGAACTAATTCAATCGAAAAATTTAAGTTGTTAGGTGAAGACACATTTTTGGTGGCTTTGATCTCTTAGAACTCATTAATCATCTGCTATTTGGTTGATGCTCTTTCAAAATATTGAAATGAAGTTCCAATATTCATACCTTAAATCTTCTTTTCAACTAATTTCGCAAGGCACTGACAACTTTACTTGGTCACAGCGTTTGGCTCTTTACAAGCAGAAGTTGGATGAGATGTTCCAGTAATATGTTTTTTTTAGGTAAAGACTCGTTACTTCTTTTCTTCTTTTTTTGCTTATCTCTTAATATCCTTCATTTTGTTATCTTTGGCTGTTTCAGGAAATATATTCACTGTTAATCAAGCGTCACAGTTGAATAACAAACAAAGGGGGGAGATGTTCTTAGTGTTACCCTTAGGTACCATGAATATTTGAACTTGTCCTAAAGCTAGGTTGTTTTGCATGTTTTAGTACAGTTTTGAACCAGTACGTTGGGAGACTAGCTCCCATTTTTAGGTATATTTATCTCATGTGGTGATCGAGAGATTGTTACCATAAACCCGTTGTTGATGGATCTTATAAATGTGGAAATCCTGTAATACTTTCAGTTCAGGTCAATTATTATAATTGTAAATGAGTCCTAGTGTGAATTTTACTGGATATTGTAGAAAGTTACTACTTATCCTCGAGTACTCTTCTCTTACATATCTTACATATCCTTGATATGCCTGATTTTTGTAGACCCTTTACTATTGAATGTGATGCTTCAGGCAAAGGTTTAGGGGCTGTGTCCTATAACATTTTTCAGCAAATTTCTTTCTGATTCTTCGTTTTCTAAATCAGTTTTTGAGGTGTTGGCGGCATTGGTACTATCCATACGACTGTAGCATCCCTACCTCCTTACCGTGTATATGGATCAGAAAAGTCTCCGTTATTTTCTATAACAGCGTATTATAATGCAGAACCAACAGAATTGATTAACTAGCTTTTGGGATATGAAACTAATTGAACAGAAAGAAAGGAAAAAAGAGATGTATAGAGATTAGAGACTAAGAGAAGGAATGGTGTCCCTTACAAATGAGCTATGTTCTTTCTTATTATTGAAAGATGAATGTCCCCTCATCCAATTACAGTTTTCTTATTTAACTATCTAACCGGCTCCTCTAACTTCTTGACTAACTACTTGTATTCCTACTTGTGTACGCCTTCCAAGTTCTAACCGCTAGGTTGAGTCCTAACAGTTGTAGTAGTGCTTAAAGGTTTCTAAATAAAAATCTCATATTGAACTGTTTCACGTCTGTTCCACCAAACATTTTACCATGTTACAATGATTTCTATCCAACAATACAAAAGAAAAGAGAGAACTGAGTAGTTCATGGTCGCATTCAAACATGAGAGTTACTTAGCAAAATGGGCCTGGTTATTGGAATTCTTTAACAATAACCAATCATCCATTCATGAGGGAGGAATAATATTGTCAAGCACAAGACTGCTAGATGCGTAAGCAGGCATTCCATACATGTTTTAAAGGTCAAAAGCTTCAAACCACAAAGTAAAATCATTTATCATCATAAATCCAACAAAAAGTTAACGCTGGCTAGTTTTCAAACTAGAATGGCCTGGCGTCTTACTACATTACAGTTGACTAACACTCCTTAAAAAAGATTTAGGTGTGTAATTTCTCATTCTAATGCTATGGCATTTCTGTCCTCTTGAGTTTGCTCAGGGTAAGGAACAGGCGAACAGTGTATTTTCTCATTGTTAGAAGCATCAGAATATGCTTCTAATCTGATCAAATCTAGAGAAGGAGCATTGTGCGAAACTGATGATAGGGACTTTGTTGTTGTCCAGAAAGAGTGCATCTTATTGTCTTCCTCTTTCATTATCTCGGCATATTTTTTTATGTCAAATCCTGCGTTGTCATTCCCACCAAATGCAGATTCAAGATGATCCATATCAAACAAATCCTCCATAATCTTCTTTGTGTTGTGGTCGTTGGAATAAGCAAACTTTACTTTGTTATAAGTCTCAGGCGCTAACATTTGCTTTATCATCTGCAGCGATTCACTCTTTGACATCACAAAATGGTACTAGATTCATAATCAGACTTATAAGCAGCTAGCATCAAAACTTAAAGATCAAACAATGTATATACTAGCGAAAATAATCTACTACAGGTCTACAGTTAAAAACAAATGCATCAATTAGGAGAAATGACCATAAATTCCTCAGTCTCAAATAGGTCTAGAACCATGAAGTGCTTCAGTTCCGGGCCAAGTGCACTTCAATCCCATCTCATGTGGCTCAAAACGTAAGCATGAAACTTAAAAGCTCCTTAAGAATGAAATGCATTCAGATTCATTCTGACTTACAATCTAAAATAGTCAGCATACTCTCATCATTAACTTGCAGGTTGCATTTAACTCTTCACCTAGTCAATGCAGATAAATCATATATGTCCTACACCAAAGCGACATGTATATATAAACACCATCCAGAAGATACTGAAGGCAAGAAGAGGATAAAGTGTAACAATGGAAAACATTTGATTTAGTTACCGTGAAGAATGGTTGGAAGATCTTAGGTGCATTGTACATTATTGCTAAACCCAGCCGCTCTGGATAGTATTGTTGAAATACATGGGTAATTTCACGTGCGAACTTGACTGATATACTTGACAAATTGAAACCATGGAAATCAATCAGCCAGATCATCTGTTCCTGGTTTGGTGGAAGATTTAAAATGGCTTTCTCCATGCAGTATACAAAATACTTCATCGACTTTGAGCTCTGTAATACAGATAAAGACGACAAAAGGAATTAGAAATGAAATAGAAACATGCATAACATTTCTCTACAAGATTGATAATAAATCGCATTTTAACCGATTACACATGTTTAATCTATAAAACCATTGACACCAATTTCACTGCTGGGAATAGAAGGGCCAGCACTGTTCTGTAAAGAGTTAAACTTCAAGAGTGCTTTCCAAAAGTAAAAACGAAAATTAACGAGGCAGCTGGCCACAATGTATATCTGAATTAAGAGTGACAATTGGTTTGAGTGAATAATGTTGGTGTGAGATCGAGGTCTAACACACTCCACATGAACATGAGACTTACAAGATTCGTTTTAAAACTTTCAATATAAACATAACCCTCTTATTTTGTGGGTCAATTCGACACAGTATGAATAACTCGTCAATCTCAAGATGTTTAGCTTATTATGCAAATTGACACGACATGAATAACCTATGTATTGATTTCATGTTGTGTTAACACAACACCACACAAATATCTTGAAAGAAGATTACGTCACAAATTTATTTTTTGTCATTTTTATTAACACAAACACAACACAAATTTATTTTTTGTCATTTTTATCAACACAAACACAACGGGAAAAGCACCATTTTGAAGTTTTTGGACAAAAGAATTGCCCGGTTAAAGCTGATTGGATAAGTTTTTCCAAAGTAATGCAGTCAAACATGTCACCTATGCTGACGGGACTAGTCCCGTCACTGATACTGACGGGACTCGTGCCACGTCAGCGCCACGTAGGCAATCCAATTACCGTAAATCTTCGGAAGACCATAACTTGTGACTCGGGTATTCAAATCAGATGATTTTTTTTTGATTTCACATAATTTTTCGAGATCTACGCAATGATACCTCGTTTGACATATTTTATCTCCCACAAACATAGTTTGAATTTGTAACAATTGTATCACAATCACAAGAGTGTTTATCCATAAGACTATGTTTGTGGGAGATAAAATATATCAAATGAGGTGTCATTGCGTAGATCTTGAAAAGTTATGTGAAATCAAAAAAAAAATCATCTGATTTGGATACCCGAATCACAAGTTATGGTCTTCCGAAAATTTACGGTAATTGGACTGCTTACGTGGCGCTGACGTGGCACGAGTCCCGTCAGTATCAGTGACGGGACTAGTCCCGTCAGCATAGGTGACATGTTTGACTGCATTACTTCGGAAAAACTTATGCAATCAGCTTTAACCGGGCAATTCTTTTGTCCAAAAACTTTAAAATGGTGCTTTAGCCCAAACACAACACAAATTAAAAAATGGGTCAATCTGAACACAAATTTCTCTTGTTGTGTTCGAGTAGTGTCATCGCGTCATGTTAAAAATTGTGATCGGTAATCTGAATACATCCCTTATTCTCATTATTCCATTTTCACTCATTCCAAATAAAGTACTCGTTAAAATAGATAAGATAGAGATTAAAAATGATTTTAAGAAGAAACCTGGCGACCAGTTCTCATTACAAGGACTGATCTCCCATGCTTGTCATGATAACTTGGTCTATACATTTTCCCTCTCTCTGCTTCATCGGCAACCTCTTCCTGCATCAAAAAATAAAAAAATAAAAAATACATGTCAAACAACTTTGATCATAATAAAATATCACACAATGCAGTAACTCACCCAGCGAATCTCTTCAGGTTTGTATTCTTCTCTCCATTTTAGGCTCTGTTTCAACATTTGAGCTGCCTTATTGACTTTCCAATTTTGTGAGCTTAAATACCTTGACACGGATGCATCAAAGCAATACACAGATGCCTTATCTGATAATGGCCCTATCAACCTTCTCACCTCAATGATCTGTAAGGAAGCAAATTATCATGGGCTACATCATTTACTCAAAGATATTTTCAATTGCTACCAAAGTGTATAAGTATCTTTGTGGATATACAAAGAATGCAAAATGATTGGACATACCTTTGCCTGTTGTTCTTGTGATATCAACATTTTCTCATGGCCGTTAGAGGCAGTTTTTTTCAGATCCACACTCATAGTGTTCAGTGTAGAAACTCTCTAAAAATTAACAAAGGACAATGCAAAGGTCAGTACCAATTCATCGTAGTAATAGCTATTCATTTTCATTCCAAGATTTTTTTTTTTTTTTTTTGGTTGAAAATTTTCATTCCAAGTTATTACAGCATAAAAACAATAAAACAAAACATTAAAGAAGGGCGATCGAAAAATAGATTTTTGATTTTCAGAAGAAAAAAAAAAAATGTTCGATAAAGTTTGTTTTGTAAAAAAAGTTTTAAAATTTGTTACTATTTTATTTATTTTTAAAATCAAATTTAGAGGATATATGAATTTTTTTTTTTTGTGTTTTAACTTTTAACTTTCAAAATAAAATAAAAAATAAAAAAGACATAGTTTATCGACCGTTCTACAAAAAAGATTTAAGAGTAAAAAAATTTGTAGTAAATCATGTCACAGTAGTAGTATGTAAAGAACTTTTTTTGAATACATGTGATGTACCCACTTGGGTATATCTTTTTACCAAATGGAAAAAAAAAATTCTATTTCTATCATTGCTTTTTTTTATTTTTTTTCATATTCCAAAATCTTACCCTTTTGATAGGGATGTACTATATACATTTGTTGCACAGAAGGTTTTCTCGTATGTAGGAAGATAATCAAAGACATCATTAAATACGTAGACAGACACAAGTCGTTCCATATCACTTGAAAAGGATATCAAATCGAGTCAATCTTAGATCATTTGTGGAACCTTGACATTTCACAGACATTCCATATTTGTTTTTTTATAGAAAAAAGTTCACCAATATATCTGTGATTTATTTCAGAATTATTTATGTCCTGTGCTTTTTTTTATCACATATGTCTCTTGTAATTTGAAAAAGGGTAGGTTTCTTTATCATATATGTTTTTTTATTTTTTACAAATTACAGAAATATATGTGATAAATAAAAAATCATAAATACATAGATGATTCTGAAGCAAATTATAAGGGCATTTGTGAACTTTTTTCCTTTTTTCTAACATACAATGTATATATCCTTTGCAACGTAAAGCACACAGGGTGAAAAACTTGACTATCAAGAAAATGAAGACCAGTTGAACTTAAATAAGGAAGCTATCCTAACCAGGATTCAGAGCCCAAAAAACTGGATAAGATTCACATAATATTGAAGAATAACGCAGCACAGAATCCAAGTACTGAGCATTTGAATGGAGGTGGCAGATGCAACTCATAAGCTACTAAAACTTGAAAGTAGGGAGTGAGTTAACACTCAACAGACAAAAATTGTGGGGAAAAAGTAGAGAGAAATGGAAAGAAAATGCTAACTTCTAAGACTGAACCTAAGACAGATACAATGTATGGAAAACAAGAAAGAAGGAAACAATCAATCAACCTTATTCGTCCGTCCGCACTGGTTGGAGTGTGGATTGGATTCACTCTTCCACTTCCGCAGTTATATACACACACACTTATAACTCAACCAAATCTTAATATGATCGCGAATTATTCAAAAAAGTGATATTATTGAAAGTATTTAATATCTAATTTAATGGTTGAAAATCCTTAAGCTTGTATTTTTATTATTTTTTATCTTAAAATATAATTTGAAGGTTGATATCCCTTATAGATAGTGGTCCATATGCAAAATTGAGTACCACTATGGCACTAAGCTAAGTTTTATTTTATTTTTTGGTTATGTTTTCGTTGTCTGAAAGATAAAGCTATAATGACGAAGTCATTATCTGTGCAAACTACTTTAATTGTACATCTACCAAATTGTTGGGGCACGTGGATGTCATCGTAGTAATACAGCTACTGGTAGGATAGCTTGCTTATTTAAGTTCAACTGGTCTTCATTTTCTTGATAGTCAAGTTTTTCACCCTGTGTGCTTTAATTGTATCCATTCCCTTTTTCTTTTGTATTCTTTGACTGTTATTAGATGAAATACTTTATTTTATTTTATTACTATATATTTTTTCTAATTTTTCTTGGTTACGTTACATATCAATTAGTGTCCAAAGTTCTTATAAACTCCATTAATCTGAATTCGGATTTAAGCCTCTTCATCCTTTTTAAGAATTGTGATTCTTAAAAATCTAAAACAATTATCATTATTTAAATTACAAAAGTGTTTAAAGACTTTTTAATTTTTAATTTTTAAATTTTTCCTTTTAGAAAAAAGGAACATGAGCTTGTAGCTCCAGCCTTCGATTACCTCAATTGTAACTCTTCATTTTGGAAGAGTGATCATCTTGTCACACTTGACAAAAAAAATTATCAGACTGTTACGTCAACAGTAAATTTTGTCAAAATGTCACGCGACATATTTTGTTACACTATGTAGCGAAATATGCAAGTAATTCGCTACACAGTGTAGCGAAATATGCCATGTCAGGATGTACAGTCAGCAAAAAATGACACGTGTCAAGCAGGCTGAAATTCGCTACACTGTGTAGTGAATTATGCTTGAATTCTGCATGCTTGACACGTGTTATTTTTGCTGACTGTGCAGCCTGACATGACATATTTCACTACACTGTGTAGTTAATTACTTGCAAACATATTTCGCTACATGCCGCGTGGTATTTTGACAAAATTTACTATTAGCGTCGTAATTTGGTAAATTTTTTTGTCAAGACAAAATAGTTCACTGTTCCCTTCATTTCCTTAGCTTTCGCAGGACTCATCTCAACGGTGGAGCCTTATCCTGATTAAGAAAAACCCATTACCAAAAAAATATCTATCCGTGGTGGTTGGAGAATTGATTCTGGCTCAGATTGTTTGATGCACTCTGCTGCTTTCAGTGTTTGTTTATAAATGACTAGTATGCAAAATAGAGTACCATCCAACCATAAGTTTTTGGTTGAGTTTTCTTTTTCGTTTTCTTAAAGCTATAATGAAGTCATGATCCGTGCAAGTTTCTGTAATAGTCCATCTTCCAATTTCAATAATGTTGCGGTGGTTGTATGTCAGCGTTCGTACTAATAGAATTAAACGGCGGACAAATTTCTCGTGTACTCTTCAATTGTTAGGAATATATTATATGGGATACCATAACTGTACATGACATTTAGTTTAAATTTAAAGGATTTATTAATCTCCTTTAATAAAAGATAATTATCATGTATAAAAATAAATTATGTGGATCCCATCATTTTTTAAAAATAAAAAAAGAATAGCACAATTTTTTATACTTCGCTAGTTAAAGATAATTTAAACCCTAAATTTAAAGACTAAATTTCAATGATTAAAATATTATTCTCAGATTCTCTAAATCTTTTCCCGTAGAGTGATAATCAATTAAGTTAAGGTTTCTACGCTGACATACAAGAAAAGCAAGTACAAGAACTAGAAGTGAAAAATTAAGGATTATTCCAGAATCTATGTTTTTTTTGGGGGGATATCCATACTTAATTAGTTATCAAACAGCTATACATTAATTGTTATATTTAATGAATTGTTATAGGGGATTATTTCTCTTTTGTAATATGAGAGAAGTTCTATCATGTTAAGACAAATAAAGTAGACTTCACCAATTTTTACAAAAAAAACAAACATATTTTTTGAAAAAAGAGTAACATAAGAGATTAATCCTATGCAACATAAGAATATAATTTTTCACTGTTATATTTGGATGCTGCTGAAACTGAACGTGTATAACTTTTTTCACTTCAGCCACCGTACATGTACATTCCCATCTTCAGTATGGAGAGGACCGATATGGGTCGCTCTTGTTTTAATTCCTACCGCCTCTACAAGAAAAACAAACACTAATTAATTTTAGGGAATTAACGTGTCTTATGTTATAATATCTCTTACACATATATAAAAAATATGTAGAATCTATGTAGGATTATGTAAAAAGAAGAAAAAAAAAAAATGAATCTCACACATTATTATGTATATGTATTATCTCTTATAACATAAAAAAATATTGATTCCTTAATTTTACATCTTATTTTTTAATTAATTTATTAGAGAATGATATAAATCATTAAATGACCTTCACTCAAACCTTAAAGTTTTTAGTTAAATTAATTTTTTATAATATTCATGTTATAAATCTAAAAAACTATGACACGAAGAAATATATTAGAAAATAATATAAATGAAAAAAATTATCACTTGACAACTTAATATTTCGACTAAATTAATTCTTTATATAATTATTTTTAGAGAGTCACATGCTGAGGCATATGCACCCGTATGGCTGAACTGCATCTAATTCTTCAGTCGGAAAATACTTGATTTACGTCTGCATAGTCACATCACATTTTCCGTGGCAATAAATTCAGCATATAATATATGAAAAAATAATTTTTTTCATTTTACATAAAAAAAAATTCTCATGCTGCACATACAATTAAAAAGTGAATCTCATTTTGATTTTTTTGTCTTCTTATTTTTTTTAACCCCACTCATATATTGTATGTACAATATGAGAATTTTTTTCATATAAAAATGAAAGTTTAATCTCTATTTCTCTCTCTATATATATATAGTTTGATATTTCTTATATTATAAAAGATAAATTTTTTTTCTATAAATACATAAAAATATATAAGACCATGTGAAATTATATAAAAAGAAAATATATATACGGTGCATGTGTATATTTAGCTTTCCACGTCTTCGCACCAAACCTTCCCAACTCCCATACTCGTACTGAATGAGGGCGCCCACCATCCACCAGAACTTAATATTCTTAATTCTTACCCTCCTTATCCCAGCAGGTCAGCACCATCATCAGTAATGGTATTCAATATTTGAACATATTTTGTCGTTCTTATTGTTGTGGAAGTTATCTACGACCATTATTCGGTTTTTTTCCTTAGCTGTTAAGTTCTTGTTGCCTTGCTAACAGTTGTGCAAGTAATGCGCGCAAGTATACGCGACAACAAGTAATATAGGGCTGTTATAAGTCTCAGTTATCGTTCCCACAAGGATCGTTGGCGTTTTGAAATGACTAAAATTTGTAATTGCTTAAAACTGAGTTACTATTTGAAAATAGAAGAAATAAAATTGTAAAGTAAAAAATAATCTAGAATGGACCTAAAACACTACTGTTCACTTTTCTTTTAAAATTTTCTGAATTACTTTCCTAAGTTATAAAATAAGAATGAAGAATTAAGCAACTTAAATGACAGATGTGACAAAATTTTTGAAAACAGAATAGAGATTGAAATATGAAATAACAAAGGAAATTGGAAAATCTGAATTGATAAAGAGGTTTAAAAAAAGGTGGGTTGAGTTCTGGTTCTCCTTCCCCACAGTGCTTGAAAAATAATTTGATTAACAAAAAGCTCATCCTAAGATTCTCAGTTAACAGAACTGTATTGTTAATTTTAATCTCTTAAAAATTATTTTATCCCAAAGTTGCCAACTTCCATATCTCTATGCCAAGTGGGATTAGGACTCTTGAGACTCAGGTCCAATATTACATGAGGACTCGTTCATTTCTGAATTGAGATCCCTTAGATGATTTCTCATCTAAGTCCATGTGTCTAATGCAGAATCCAGAATTAGTTGTTTCTCAACAACTAAATCCTAACTAAACCTCTGACATTCGGCCAAAATGCAGATAATTTTAAACATAAAAAAAAAACATTAAACAACTGAGATATAAAAATTAAAACCAGAAAATCAAATATTTAACAAGCACTGAGGTTTGGGTATCACCTAAACCCAACCTCTAAAAAGTTAGCCACTATCCATATGGATGAAGCTTACAAACAGTAACAGAGAACTACAGAATTCACAAAATAAAAATTCTAAAAACTAAATTACAACACTGGCCTAACAACCGGCAATCTCAGTGCTGTAAATGCATGTATCGAGTTCATCAGATGAACCAGATTCTCATTACAAAATAGAAATTAAAAGAAAATAAAAATTGTGCAGAAAGCAAGAACTAACAAAAAACGATAAATCAGAATTAGGAGTCCCCCAGAGACTCACTCCTCAATCCCTTTTTATAGGGCTCATTTCCTTCTTTGCACGATTTTCCTCTCCAGCTCAGCAGGTATACACGCGCTCCTTGCGCGTTACACACCAGTGGTCCCCAACCGTTCCACAATCGCAACAAATTTTGCAAATGAAATTTTTCTCCGCACTCATAACAATATCCTCGTCGCTAATCTGTTTGTGTATGGTTTCTAGAACAATAGCCTTACAAAGCAGGCTTGTGTGGTTCAATGGGTGACAGAAAATGAGACTGGATGATCGATTTGGATGGCTAAGTGGTTGGATTGAAATGAAAGGTTAAGGATTTGGTGTGAGGCTGTGGTTAGGGTCTGAGTCGTGGTTTGAGAAAGAGAGGATTAGGGTTCGTGAGATCTGAAGACTCAGATGTTACTTTAGCTACTTTTGTGTTGGTCTTTTCTTTGGTATTGTGTCTTTCCCTTACAAATGGGCTTCTGGTGAGTCAATGAACAACATCAGCCCACTCCCTTTTTTTTCTTCTCTTCTTTGATTTGGGTTTCTCTGATTTGGACAGTAACATATGGGCCTGAAAATAAAAAATGAGTCCATTAGTATCCAAACCCATTATATTTCAGCTCAACATAAATTTGGGGTTTTTAATCACACAAAAATTATTCTTTTCTCTCCATTTTCACATTAAACCATATGTTTCAAGTCTCATTTAAGAGACTTTTAAGTTCTCATTTGATTTTTGCAGTAGTAAAGTTAATTTCAAAAGAAATTTTACAAATTAAATATACATTATCTTTCAAAATACTATATAAATGTTCTTTTGTTACATAGGAGGATAAAATATATATTAATCTTATATCACTACAAATAAGATTAATATTCGGAATTTAAGTTTGAGAGGTAATATTCTACATTATGAGAAATTAACTGAGTGAGAAACTTAAAGACTCTAAATTCAATACTTAAAGATTTTAGGCTTAGGAATGGTACTGAGGCCTATTTTTGACAGCTAACTTTGGTTTCAGAGCCGAGTTTAGCTATGCAACCAAGCTCAAATACTAGTTTCAATACTCAATGTAATCAATAATTCCCATCTTACTCTTTTATGCGGACAATAGTCAACATAAGATAATTATGCAGAATTTATAGGAGATTATCTCTCAGTTAGCTATATATTTTAGAAAATGTAATTTTGTTCCCCTCAAATTCATACATTGAAGTGAAAAATTGACCACTAGTATCGTGTAATTTATCAATTATTATTTGTAACCATACATATGAAGCATACTCTAGAACAAAGACCAACATGCATACAGTTCAATTCAGTCACCGGGTTTATCCCGCGGGTCAATATTCAAAGAGGACTAGCTTCTACGTACAACATACTGAAATAATGCTTCGTTCATCTGAATTTCAGATGCGAATAGGAATCGAATTGTAATACATTTATTAGCCTCATAATCCCAAAGTGAATCATGTTTCATAAACAGGTTCACTAAATTAGCTTTACCATGTTGAAGAATTAAATTTGTAACATCAGACAATAATATCTATTGGATACTCTTCATCACCCACAAGCAAGAAATGAGACCCTTCTTCTATTACATTTAAACCAGCCTCGTTTGCTCTACTAAGATGCTCGCAAGGGCTTAGCTCAAATCCAACTTGATTCATTTCCCCTGCATCTAGCATCACACTCTTAAAACCCACCAACTGTTTCACAGGACTTCCAGTTTTCTGTTTTCCCGGTCTCATAAATAACAACACTGGATGCTTTCCCACCATGCTACCATGATTTTTAACTCCAACGGTGACTGAAACCGACATGCTTTGGCAGGTTTCTTCACCCAACTCCGAAACTAATTTGTACCTTATGGTTTCTGAATTTTCAACCATCAAATGTGTGGATGATTGATTGAAGTGAAGCTTGTCATGTGTAACAGAAACAAACTCATAGGAGTATTTTGAGTAGCTTAGTCCATAGCCAAATTCATACACCTTTGGACCCTTGTAAAACCGGTAAGTTCTCCCAGGATAACCATTTGACGGATCAGCTCGCATCCTCATGTCTGTCATTGGTACTTTGATGTAATCTTTTGGATACCAAGTAATTGGTAATCTTCCACCTGCATTGCATTATTGCATTGTTGACAGAAAGCACCCCAGTTGAGTAATATATTTGTAAACATGTTAACTATTTTGCCATTTTTTTTTTATGTTTGTTTATTAGTTCATGGTGAGTGTGAGCCTTGGAGCAGTGATAAAGTTGCTCTTTATAACCCGAAGGTCACAGGTTCTGAAAAACGATCTCTTTTGCAAAAATGCAAAGGTAAGGTTGTGTACGATCGACTCTCATCTCTACCCTCGTAAGTCGGAGAGTTTTGTGAACCGGGGTTTATCCTTCTTTATTAGTTCATGGATACAAATAGAAGAAAATTCACCTGGGTTGTGATCACCAAAGATAATCTGTGCAAGTGCAATGCTTCCTTGTTCCCCCGGATAACCAGCCCATAGGATGCCTCCAATTTGGTTGTCATACTTGGCTGAACTGATATCTACAGGACCTCCACAAAGGAGCACCAAAATAACTGGTCTCTTAGAAGCTTTGGCAACGCTGTTGATGAGTTCTTGTTGCTTGCCTGGCAAGTCTAAGTGAATGCGATCACGTTCTTCCCTCTCTTCACTTTGATCCAATCCCATAATCAGCACGACATAATCCACCTTTTTTGCAACTTCCACTGCCTGGTTTATTTGAGCCGAAGGACACTTTGGTCCACCATCACAGCCAGGATGATAAACTGTGTTCTTAACATAGTGTTGAAACCCTTGTAATATTGTCACATATTTACAAGGAGGGCCAGCATAGTTTCCTAGAAGAGTTAGAGGGGAAGCATTTGCATTGGGACCTATGACTGCTAAGGAGATACTGGGGCTTGTTTTGGGAAGTGGGAGTAGTGCGTTAGTGTTCTTCAAAAGGACAATGCCATTTCTTGCAGCTTCAAGAGCAACATACTGGTGCTCTTTGGAACATACATGATTGGGACCAATCAAGCCAAATGAGAGCTTGGTTGGATTTCCATCAAATAAGCCTAGCCTTATTCTAATAGAAAACAGATTGTGAAGGGCACGGTCTATTTGAGATATAGGTAATTTTTTCTGCAACACTGCTGATTTAGCATGGCCCGTCAAATAATTACCGCATTCCAAATCCATCCCTGCAAATTTGAAAAACACAATCATCGCCATCCACCTTAATTACAATACCATTAAACGTAACTGAATTCAGAAACTAGTCCTTTCCTTTTTGGTAAACTACACTTGCCTAGGTTTTCAGAAATGACACACTTAACAAATTAAATGCAAACCTGAACACATTCATAACTTTGGTACTTCCTAAACGCTGATTAGAAAACTCTATTGGATGGGAGAAAAGGCATACGATTCATCACCCACAACTTTTATCATAGCCTTTGCTCATTATAATTTTTAGCATTCCAAATTTACCCACCAAATGTGAAGCATTATAACAGTGAAATTAACGGGATTGCATACACTTTATCTACTGAAACTCGGATATGAAATTGTGATTTGTTTAAGTTTTCTAAAAGGTGGGGTTGTATTTCAGGGTTTCTTTGGTATGTATATTCTCTGGAAAATGGTTGACTTTTTCTCTTAGCCACATAAAAGGGTTGATACTATGAAATCTATAAAAGAACATACTTAGTTGATTCACATGTATAGAAATTGGCATGTGATCGTATGAAGTACTCCACCAGCAAGTAAATTTGTCATTTCTTGTCCCCTAAAATTATAATTGCACATAAAAACATCGACACATGCACCAAGAAGCAGAATGACATAGTACAGCTATTATTGTTCTTTAATTTCAGTTTAACTAGTCCTAGGAGTAGATATATTGATTTAATGAACTTTTGTGAGTTGGTGGGTGGTAACGAGACCCATGTCCTTGTATCAGTGTATGAAGGTAGTGACACGAACCCAGTTGCTTTGATGTATGTTAGCTCCGATGGTAGTGATGTACTCTCCTTTAATTATCATTATCATCCAAAAAAATGGGTTACACAGAGAAGAACAAGAAGGTTAAGTCCATAATCACTATAATCCGATTTCTCATCAAATGAGCTTCGAAATATTTAAATAGTTAATATTTTGTCCAAAATATTTATTTAGCATAAATAAATAAATAAATAAAATTAACTTAGATATTTGTATAAATTAAAAGAAACTATTCTTTTAATATCTTAACATCTTTTATAAGTCATACTTAATCAATAGAAGAAAATGTACATTCTGATTGAAATTAAAAGTTGAAGTCATATAAGGTACGTGATTATAATAAATAATAATTTATTTGTTTTAGTTGTATAATACGATTTTATTTTTTTGGAGTCTTTTTGCATTGTCCGGACTCAGGAGTGAGGTTAGGGCCCAGTTGTATTTAGGCTAGCTTCAAGCGTAATTTTATATTAAACAAACCGATAAAACTCAGATAGCCCAACAGTAGGCCCAAAAAAAGTATTGGTCTTTTATTTTTGGGACAAAAACATGATCGATTTGCGAATCGATTCCAATGATGACTCATGACTATTCCATTTGGACTTGTTTGCTGTCTGTGCCAACTGTAAATAAATTTACACATGACTTTTCAGTGTTAAAACTTTATGTTAATACCATTCATAAATTTTGATAAGATCTTACATATTTGATATTCATAAAAATCTCATAATGAAATGTCCTATCCCCCCTTACTTTTTGAGGGCATAACTATAACTATCAAGATACAAAGAAGAAAGGTCGGCAAAAGCCATATGAAATAAAGTATTCTTTGGGGTCTCGGATGAATATGATAGGCAAATCGAGACAAAGAAAGGCACATGGACAAGAATAAATTGAGACGAAAAGTCAAGATCTTAATGCATTAGAGGAAAAAAAAAGAAAAAGGTAAGCATACGTAAAATTATGTAATAGCGAATCTTTAAACAAAAAACCTTATATAAGAAAACTTTAAAAAATCTCATTTCTAGTATAAGTACCACCGTGAAACCTGGCTGAAACTTAAAAGAGTTAAGACGTGTTAATCTTGAAACGAAGCTACCTTTTCATCCTGAATTTTCATATAGAGTAAAACTAATCTTATATTATATAAGAAAAAATATCTTATGTTATGAAATAAAATCAAAGTAGATCCCATTTTGATTTTTTTTTAGTGGGGTTCACCTTAATTTTGTTTCACAACGTAAGATTAGTTTTAGTCTTTCATATATATACACAAGATGACATGAGCATATGCGTAAGGAACAAGGGAGAAAAGATGAATGGCTGAGACTCTGAGACAAATGGGCAATGGGACAGGGGCCAACTGGAAGAGTGGGCCAAACCACATGACTTTGCCATTAGTAGAGTTACGCAGAATATTGAAAAGGCTATGTAAACCGACAACACACAAGTGACAAAAGCTTTATGCAAGAGGAGCATGCCATTAGGTAATTAACCTTTGCACTTTGTAATTCCAATTATAACCAATCATGAAGCAAAGGAAGAAAAGATAACAATGTAGAAAGAGAGGATTTGGTCCCACCATACCAGCCCGAAGAACATCTGCTACAGCATCCTCTGCTGACTTCGCATATCTTTGCTCGTCATGTATGATCGCAACTGCTCCGCAATCCGACGTAATATACCTGATAGGCTTCCCCCAAAAAGTTCGATTTAAGAAAGACACAACCATTTCTTCAAAAAGAGAGGGAAAGAAAATAAACTAAATAATAATCACCCGTGGAAATCCCATTGTTTTCTGGCGATTTTGGTTAAGAGATTATAATCTGCACAGTTTGGAACCCCATTGACACGGTTGTAAGCACACATTATCCCACTAGCTCGTCCTTGCTGTACGCAACTCCGAAATGGAGGCTGATATGTGTCCGCTAAATCTTGCAAAGTGACCTGAACCATAATGATTTAATATCGGGCAATTCAGAACCAAAAAAAAAAAGGTACGTAAGCAGTAACAACAAATAGTACATCACATCATCAACCTACATTCACACGCAAAAATTTAGTAAAGAAATAAAATTACACGATTAAATAATCATAAGGTAAAAGCATTTAGTACTGTAGAACTAAGGAGAATCCAATGCACGAAAAACTAACTTATCTCAAACGCAGAGACACTAACAATAACAGTTGAAGTTGCGAAAGACTAAACTAGACAGTATGAGATATGCACTGACTTACGCGTGCATCGAAGACAAAGCGATTGACACCCTTCCAATTGTCCAAATCATAGGCCGTAAAATGCTTGCAGCAAGCCGAAGCTTGAAGATGTCCCCTCAATTTCCCTCCTTGGAATGAATCCCCTTGAAGCCCTCTCACATAGGAAACTGCATACTTTGAAGTAACCAATGGATCTTCGCCAGCTGTCTCTTGTCCTCTACCCCATCTTGGGTCCCTAAATATGTTAATGTTAGGAGCCCAGAATGTCATCCCGTTTGCTTGTCCAGCATTGTATATTGCTCTCGCTTCAATTCCAATGGCCTTCATTCACACACACACACACACACACAAAGAAAACATAAATAGTAAAGAATCATTCAAACCAAAAGTTTATAAAAGTGAGCACGACCAGATCGAACTCGTAATAGTAAGACTCTAATACTATATAAATCAATTCAATCAAAAAAATCAAACTTTAGTGAGCCTACATTAATTATTTTTATATATCTATGACATAAACCAAAAAATAAGACCCAAAAAGAAAAGGAGGAACTTTAATGTAGTATAGGGTGGGACTGAGTCACTGAGTTACCTGACCGATTTGGTACCAAAGGTGGGAGTCAAAGGTAGCTGCGGTGAGGATGACTTGAGGGAAACTAGTAGCAGATGAGATAGCGCCATTGAAGTGGATGCCACGACCAACGTTGCCAATCCCATGCAGTGCTTCACTCCACCACTCGTAAGCGGGAATACCGAGTCGTGGAATCGGAGGGGCCGAGTTCACGAGTTGGGCGAGTTTCTCGTCCAATGTGAGTCTGGAGACAAGGTCTCTGGTTCGTTGAGTGATGGGAAGCTTTGGGTTGCAAAATGGGTAGGATTTGGATGATGGGTTGGAGAAATCGCAAGCGAAAGGTGGCTGAGTTAACTGGGAATGGACGATGTTTTGAGTCAGAGTGAGGAAAAGTAAGGAGACAAAGGCGAAGGGCACTGAGAGTGAGAGGGCCATAGCGCGAAATTGATGCTCCATGGAATTGGAACTGCACACACCAACATGTCATAAAAAGCCTGTCTGTGTTGAAAAGTCGATGGCTACAATTATTAATGTGATGTTACATTCATATTTTACCAATACAACGATTCTCCTATATAATGAGATAACTTTATTTCGTGCCTAAAGTTGGTGGATCTATTTTTGTTTTATTTTTTTAATCTCTTCTCTTCATAGGATTACACTTATTTTGATGTGAGTATATATATCTAGCAGGATAAACATTCGCCCCCATATATTTTCAGAACATTAAATAATTTTATAATCTTTATTACTAAAAATAAGACTATATTTCTTAAACAATAAAGAAAAGGGAAAATGTTATGATAATATAATTGCCAAAACATTCATTAATTTCTTGTTGATCCAAACTGAAACTAATATAAGAGAGATGTGACAAATATATATAATAGATAGGATATTATGCTTATTTTTTATGTTCAATTTACTTATTTCTCCCCCAACATATTTAGACCACAATCTCAACAAAGAGAAAGGGTAAAGGTTGGTTGAATTTTATAGATCATATGTTTATTAGTTTTACGAAACAAAAAGCTTTGTATATTATTATTTATAATATATTTTTTTTTGTAAAAAAAGTATCTGAATTATCACTGGCCACAGTTCAGTTTTTTTCACATAAATAAAATAATAATGTTATGTTTGGTTCTTTATTTTGACACAAATTTTATTTAGCAAAATAAAAAATATTAATAATATACTTTTGGGTGTGTTTTAATATTTATTATAATAGAGGAGGTGATCGTATTAATACTACGAGGGACATCTTTTGATTTCAGTGTAAGATTAAGAAATCTTATTTTTTATTTTAACCTTAAATTTTTGTGCATATAATATTTATAATTTTTGAAAAAATAATAATAATTTAATGAATATAACTCTCAAATAATCCTCCCTCTATTATTATTATTATTATTATTATTATGAAGTCCGAAAAAAGAATCAAATTCATTTTCAGGAGTGGGCTTTAATTCTCAGCCCACACTTAACCAAACCGTTCTTTGTTCAATGAACGGGCTTGTTTGGAAATTGGATAGGATTACAACTTTTCAATCTAAATGAATGCAATGCTGGTCCATCTGAAACCACCTAAGTGCTTAAGTAAACGTGCGTAATTCTGGCTGGTAAATCATACCTAATATAATTTACGCATTGCTTTATATAATCTTTTCTTATTGTTAAACTTATATCAATTCAATATTAAGCATTTTGTGAAGGTTTGTTTTTATGAGTTTCAGATTTTCAGATCAAGGACCAGGATTTCGGGAAAAGAGGAGAGAAAAAAAGGAAGGGAGAGAGAAAGTGTGAACAAAGTTCACGCATATATTTCATGGGAAAAGTGTGTATAATTTTAAAGGATGTAAAGTTGTGTCATTTTAAGAGAGAGAAAGAGATAGATAAAGTAGGAGAGAGAGTTGACAAAAAAAAAATAAAGGTGTGGGTCCCGCCTCTTTGTGAGAGTGAAAGGATGTAAGTTGTGTAATTTTAAATGATAGACACTTTTCCCATATTTCATTCCTCCTTCCATCATTTAATCACCAGCGTTTTTTCCACCTCACTGGGATTCAATCCCCTACAGCAAAAAGTACCAGACCTCTTTAGAATTCACTAGCTCACTTATCACAGTAATACTGATCCAAGTAAGTTGGACTTTTCACAGTCCTCTTGGGCTTAGCGTAGTTCTCCTTAGCAATTTTGGGCCGTAACATATTTATTGTAACATTAACTAACCAGCAATAGCTAAACATATGAAAAATATGGCAAGGATTTTTATTAGAAATAACTTGTAGGACTTAGACATGACGAAATAGTTTTTTTTTTTTTTTTTTTTTATCTTCTTATAAAAAAAATAGTTTTTTAACTGCCGCAAATTATTACGTGCTGCTGAAACTTAACACATAATGAAATGATCTAAGGATTCCTACAAATATTTTAAACAAAATAAAATAGAAAAACATGTTTAAGTTCTAACTCCATTTATAATTAACTAAAAAAATTAACTTTGATTATCTTTAGGGGGGGAAAGTGTCATACTGAATTTTCTACCAATATGTCAAATTTCGAACGAAAAGAGATACTTATCTTATCAATTTGATAAATTAAGCTTGGATTGAGGGAAAGTAATAAAATATAGATAAAAATAGAATGAAACGACATTAACTGCGGCTTTTTAAATTGTTAAATAAAAAATAAATTGGAATAATACTAAATAAAATTATTCGATTCCGTTTCTCAATTTTTTTTAATATTTTTCCTTAATTTATAGTAAGAATCATGAAATATCAAATTAGCTTATTATTTTTTAATTTGTTTATTATTTCATTCACTTCACAGACAATTTTTTATTTATTTTTAGATCATAATATTTCAAAAATAAAATGTCATATTACGGGATTCCAAAAAAAAATGTCATATTATGGCTACGTGATAAATAGTAAATATTATACAAGATCGTAAATGATATAATTATTATTATTCGAGAAATTAGCATTAAATTTGTTAAGTTAAATAATGATTAAAATCTTAAGTTATTCTCATTTCTTTGACAGATTCTTTCAAAATCTCTAAAAAATATAAACATCAAATTTATTCTCGATAATAATATTTAAAAGGTTGTTTTTTTTCCTTCCCTTCCTATTATAAAACTTCAAATATTGTATAAAGTTTCATAACTTCAAGTGACCGAAATCTAGATCGTAATTCATACAACTATTATTTTAAAGGTTAATATTAAATTTGTTAAGTAAAATAACAACTAATGACGGAAATCAATCAATTTTATTTATCCGATGCAAATTTTTTTCGAAATACTCACAATTTTAAAAACTTCACACTTGTCGGTAATGACAATTTGATGATTTTTTTATTTTATTTCTTATCCATCCAAAAAATTTAAATAGTTTAAAATGTCTTGAGACTTGACCAATTTTTTTTTCTTTCTTAGAAAATAAATGTCTTATGAGTAATTTTATAAACATTGTAATTTTTTATTTTATTTTATACTTTAATTTATTATCAATATTTAAAGGGTTTGGTCATTTGGTGTTTGTCCTTTTAAAAATTATTAAATTATGTCATTTTAAGTGAAAAAAAAGATACATAATAAAACCATATGGAAGAAAATGAATTTTTTTTAATTTTAATTTTAAATAAAAAAAATAATTTAACTAAAATAACTTTTCTTTAAAAAGATAAATATTGTTTTCATATTTAAACTTAAGATATATTTGTACTCAATTGCCACCACGCGGAGATTACTACCCATTTCAATTTCATTTCCAAAAGTTGCAAACCAAATATTGACACGCATTCTTATCTAATTAATAGAAACCTAATCCTTGGATGATAAAGAAATCATCAAAATTAACCAAGATAGACAGATGATGAAAATGAAACCAGAACTAGGACTTTTTGAAAATTCAATCAATTGAACAGTTTTAAGACAGTTGCGTGTGATATGACATCTTTTAAACTAATCCATTATCCAACATTATCTGCCCCAAAAATTATAAATTAATTGAATAAACTAAATAACCTCCCCGAACATGCAATGGCCAGGGAAGAAATTGCTTCTATTAGTGCAATGTGTCCCATCAACGCTAAATTAGTTAATTTACCTTATCTAATGGACTGTCTTTTTATTATAATATATAATTTTGCAGTTGGCGGTACTTTCAACGTGTCGGTTACTAAAATAGTTGTAAACAATTATAGCAATTAACCATTTTATTACACGTGTGTCATGTCATGTATATAGTATATTATTTTTGTGAGGAAAAAAAAAATTGTGGTAAAGGAAGACCCACTCCATTCTAAGGTTAAAATTATTAAGCTTAGCAAAACTTTCCAGTAACTTACCAATAACTTGAATTCGAACTCGAGTTATTTTAACAGAGAATTAACTATGCGAGTCAAATTTATTGACATATATATCATATAAAAATGACAAATCTAACGCTATCTGTAATTCCGACCATTCCGGTTTCGTGAATCACAATGTGATCGTTAACTTGACTAACCACTCTTACAGAGACAGATGTAAATATTCAGTCTCAATGAATTGATGCTTGTTTGTTCTTAAGCAGGAAATAGGTTAGGTGCACTCAAGCTATGATCCACGGACATGGGACACGACACGACACACCGACACATTAATTCTAAAAAATATCATATTTGAATACGTTGGGACACGTTTTGATATTAAATAAAAATTTTAATATATATAATATGATTTATATTTAATACATATAAGAGTCCAGAATAAGTCATATAACCAATTAAATATTTAAATTTCATAAAATAAATATAAATATAAATAATGTTTCGTAGTTTGTTAATTTTTAATGTCAAATTTTATAACAGAAAAAAATTAATTTATGAATTATTTCTCTTATATTTAGTTAACAAAAATAATTAAGATTTAAAAAAAAATAAAAAAAAATGTGTCTGAGCGTGTCCCCAAATGTTGATCGCGTGTCCCCAAATATTGACCGCGTGTCAGAACGTGTCGGAGAGTTAATCGCGTGTCCTCAAATATTAATCGCGTGTCAGACACGTGTCTGACACGTAAATTTAAAAAAAAGCGTGTCCGTATAAAGTAGCAGTCAACTCTCAACTAAAAGAAGCTCATGACTTCAATAAAGAAGTTTATTGTGAATGGGAAATTTCATTTTTGAAAACTGAGTTGCGGTTGATTTATTTTTAGTTGATATTTTTTAATAACCATAAAAATATTTTATTTTATTTTATTTTTGTTTTCAAACATTTACAATGAAAATTATGAAAATAAAAAAACATTTTTTTACTATTTATTTTTTAAATCATTAGAAATAATAAATAAAATAAAAAATAAAGTGATATCTTTATGAAGAGCTTGCAAGAAATCAATACCCAAAAAAATTATTAAAATGATGAATCAAACTAAAAAAAAAATTACA